ATATAATGCTTGTATAATCCTGATAAACGATTGATGGAATCCGAATTTACCCATGACTTTGTATAAAAATTCCCAATTAACCCGATCGAAGGCCTTTTCTGCATCTAAACTCATAAGGACCATCTGAATTTTATTTTTCCTAACATAATCAATAACATGTAGTGTTCGGCGAATATTATCTTGCGTTTGTCTCTGCTTAATAAAACCAGTCTGATCCAAACTAATTATCTGAACAAGAATATTTTCAATTCTTTTGGCAAGAATGTATGTAAAAATCTTAAAGTCCTGGTTAAGAACACTAATGGGGCGGTAGTTTCCACAGTCAAGCCTGTCCTTTCCTTCTTTAGCTATTATAGAAATAGAAGCCTCATTCCAAGATGGGGGAATTACTCCCGTCTTTAAAATATAGTTGAATGATGTTCTCATCAAAGGAATCAGTACCTCTTTCATTTCTTTATACCAGTCTGATGGGAATCCATCTGGGCCTGGGGATTTATTCGGTTTCAATTTTGTAATAGCTTTTTTAATTTCAAATTCAGATATGTCCTCAATTAGGGTTATATTCTGTTTTTCATTCAACTTTGGTAAGTCGAATGAATCTAAAAAAGATATCATACCTTTAGTGTCCACTCTAGGTTGTGTATATAGTTCTTTGTAGAATTTTTAGGAAGGTTGACTGAATATCTTCAAGTTTATAGACAATGTTATTTGTTTGAGGGTCCTTTATTTTATATATTGTATTTTCTAATTGTTGTTTTTTTAATTTATAGGCCAGTAATTTAGCAGATTTGCCTCCTACCTCATAGTATCTTTGTTTTAAAAAAAACCATATTTTTTTGTATTTCACTTGAAAAAATTTAATCGATTTCGTTTTTCTTCTTTTGTATTTCTAATTGTAAATTTGTAACTGCGGTTATTTTATGGGCATCTTCAAGATATTGTAGTTGTGTCTGGAGTTTTCTTAAATGCTCATTTCTCTTCTTTTTTAAGTTAGCGCTGTAACCTATGAGTTTTCCTCTTATCACTGCTTTTAGGGCATCCCATAGAATACTCGGGGAAACTTCTTCATTATTATTTTCCGCTATATAATCTATTATATCTTGACTAATTTGTTCTTTCATCGTGCTTAGAATACTTGTATTTAATCTCCAGGATGTAACTCTTCTTTCGTATCCAAGCACTACTTCCAGGTACAGTGGGGCATGGTCCGATAAATCCATCACTCCTATCCTGCAATTGATCACCCTGTTAAAGTCTTTTTGATACATAAAAAAATAATCCAGTCTAGAATAAAATGAATGAGGGTGAGAAAAAAAGGTATAGTCCTTCTTGTTGGGGTTTAGTTCTCTCCATACATCTATGAGCCCTACGTCCTTTAAGATTAATTTGATGTTTTTGGTTATTTTATTCAATCCTGGGGCGTGTGGGTTTGATGAGTCCAAGGACGGGTTGAAGCGAACATTCCAATCTCCTCCCAAAATCAGAGTACCTTGTGCTTCTCCAACAATCAATTCAAAAACCTTTTTGAAAAGTTTTATCTCTGATCCTGGGGGAGCATATACATTTATAAGAGTAATCAGTATACCCTCCAGGTACCCTTTGACTAACACAAACCTCCCCTCCTTATCACTGATTTCTTGGATGCATTCAAAATTGAACCTACTAGAGATTAGAATTACCACACCCCTTTTAGAGCTCTGAGGGCAGGAAGAGGAATACTGATTAAATTTCCATTTCTTTAATTTATCATGTTCGAGCTTCGATAAGTGAGATTCCTGTATAAAGGCGACTTCTATTTGTTCTCTTTTTATTTTTGACATAATTTTACTTCTTTTAATATGGCTCCCCAGACCATTTACATTAAATGACACTATTTTAGTTACCTTACAGGGCATTAATGTACGACCTTATATAATGTTGTGTTTAGTATGTTGCTCTGTTTTTTTTTTTTGTTTTTTTTTTTTGTTTTTTTGCTTGTTTTCTCTTCTTTTTCTCTCAACAGGTGATCCAGGAGATTTTTTTTTCTTTTTTCCCTCTTCTTTCTCTTTTTAAGTGCCCTTTCTCACTGTCCCTCTTCCCTTCTGTTTTTCTTTTCCTTCATCTTTCTTTCTCCCTTTCCTATCCCTCAGTCATGTCTGTCCCATCTGTAACAACTGAAAATATAATAAAATAAATAATAACAACAAAGGTCTATCAAATGGACCAATACGGCAAGGCCGTGATGATCCATTTGGCAAAGTAAATCCATTGGGTATCCTTGTTGGTCTTCAGACAACAATTCTGACAGCTAAAGAACCAAATGGGACAGGCAGAAAAAATAAAAAGCAACCAACCCCCTCAACAGTTGGGACAAATCAGTTGGCAAATAAAAAAGCAAAGGGGACCAAACATTGAGAAAGAGACCCTCATTTCCTCCTAAAATAGCAGCAGTTCTTTCATGAGGAATAACTTTTAATAATTCCCTGTACCACAAAGTCACAGAGGGAGGTTTATCCTTAACCCAGTTAATGAGAATACATTTCCTAGCTACCAGCAATAGTTTGTCACATAATTTGCGCTGCAAGTGATTTAGTGTTACTCCTTTTGAGGATAGGCCAAGAAGAAAATATCCGGGGTCCCTTTGGAGCCGATTCTTAAAAATATTACTTAGTTCTTGACATATGGAGCTCCAAAATCTTTTGATTAATTTACATTCCCAGAAATAATGAAAAAAGTGACAGTTTCTTTTTGACATTTGCTACAGAAGGGGTGAATATGAGGTGCAATCTTATGCAAGACATTAGGAGCTATATAAAGGCGATGTATGATTTTGTATTGAGTTTCTCGCAAGCAGTTGCAAGTAAAAGTGGAACTACCTATGTTAATGGCTCCTTTCCACTCCTCTTTGGCATATTGATTATTAAGATCTCTCTCCCATTTATGAATAGCGCTCAATGTGTTGCTACTGAGAGTATATAGGGGAGAATAAAAGGCTGAAATAAAATGAGTTCTGTCTTTTCGCCTAATAAGAAATGTCTCAATATCATCATATATAACTATTTCTGAAGACTTTGGAATTTTAGAATGAACAAAGTTACAAACCTGGAGAAAGCCAAAAACGTCGTCTCTAGGAATATTAAAATTTGACTGCAATTGCTCAAAGTTCATCAGTGTGTTGTTTTGAAACAAATCGCCAATTACCCTTAATCCATTTTTATGCCACTTATCGAAAATACTGTGAGACATTCCTGGAACGAAGTCTTTGTTTCTCAGTAAAGGAGTCGAGAATGAAGTGCAATCTTCTCTACCCAGTCTTTTACACATTTTACGTGAAAACAATTTTTCAATATCCAGAGGACCCCCATTTAAAACGTTTCGCAGCTCACTTTTAAATATGGACATGAATAATTCAATTCAGTCAGTGGACTGGTATACCTGTCATGTCAAATAGTAGAATCAATATAAAACTTGAATGACTCCTTCCATACATACATAGAAAATGTAATTATGAAAGTGACTGCATTCAGAATACTTTAATAGAGTATAATGACTGTAATGGACACGACATTTTGACACTCGTCACATGTGGAGAATTTGGACAAAGCAGAATATCCTGAACTTGACGAGTGTATTTTTCTTAAAGGTTAATGTCATTAAATGGCACAGATTGGTAACAATGACCCATAAACACAGTGGAGAGGTCCACTTTGATCATTACAAGTAAAGCAGGTGAGGACTAGTAGTCACCATCAGCCCCCACCTTCACACTGCTGGATGTAGAACATTTGTCTGGCCTAGCTGCCGCCCTAAACAAGAATAAAACCACAAAACAACACCACAACAACATTGACATCCCACATGACAAATGAATCAGTAACAGCTGGATGTTAACTGTAACAACAGCACATCTGCAGGGAGTTAAGTTAATCCTGTCATCCAGTTTATTTTCCAGGGAGAAGTTCAGCCTCACTTCCTCTTCTCATGCAATGTTGTACTGTATGTTTGTGTGGGAAGACTTGACAGCATATTCTCTTACAGGCTACAAGACATTATCTGTAATATCAGCATGTATGGAAAACAAAAAGTGTGATTCATGTATTTAAAGTACTTTTCTAGCACTTCCCTGGCCTCGGTCACAGTTGGGTAATATTTTAGACTTGCGGTGGGTTGTGTCAGATTTCCTTTGAGTTTAACTCAACTATAAACTCATAAACATTCAAGCTTCCATATAACACCTTGTGGAGAGGAAAGAGATTTTCAGTGACTACAGACGCAACTCACAAAAAAATTATGAACACCTGCAATCATCTGAGCTGTTCTCAATGTAAGACTTTTAAAAAGTCAAATTAGGAAAATTTGGTAATAAAACACACATAAACATAAAAGTGGCATCCTACTCAGTTTAGCTGGGTGTAGGTAATTTTTAAGGGTTTTTCATTAGGTGGTAGTATCTGGTACCAGGTACTTTTTAGGACCTACTCAGCCAGGTTTCCAAGCGATCCAGCAGACTGCATGCCACAGACTGGCCTCTCAGTGATGTCACTTGATGAGTCATGAGAGCGTCTCCTTCATAAAAATCAAAATCACAACTTTTAAAACCTGACAATGAGAAAAATGGCTTCACAAAAATCACCATGGTCCCAGAGTCTGACAAAAAGCCAAACGCCCAGCAGCAGGTATGAAAAAGCATCGATGCCCTCCTTTGTTATGGTACAATAATTATGTAATGCTGTTTTCAGTTTGCCCCCTTTTGTTCACACATGGGTTTCCCTTAGCAGACCTTTAGAAATGCTGGCACAGGTGCTAATTGGAGGAAGTGTTTAAAGATGATAACACAGAGATGAAGTCAGGGAAATTCCTGATAATGGGCTGGCATGAAAAACGTGAGCACGAGCAGCAACGGGATTGCATTTATGCTACGTCACTAGCTATTATTTTCTTTCCTCTTAACGTAACATTGGTCACTGTAACCTGTATGTGTGTATGTTTTTAGTTTTTTATTTTTGTCTCTCTCTCTTCAGCTCATTACCGTCTACACCGTACCAGGAATGGACCCCGACTGGCTGATCGGAGAACGAGGAAACGAAAAGGGCAAAGTACCCGTCACCTACCTAGAACTGCTGAGCTAATGGACCAAGCAACACACACACACACACACACACACACACACACACACACACACACACACACACACACACACACACACACACACACACCCCTGCAAAAACCTCTATCCACCGTCACACATGTGGACTGGGTAGACCTGCTGTTGGCCCCAGTTTGTGCTCCTTGTGTATTGGTTCAGCTCACAGAGGGAACCCCTGCACTGACTTCTATGCTAATAACCCAGCACTGTTTGAAAATGCTGTGCAGGTATCTTCTAACCACCTGGATAAAATAATATAAAGATTTATCAAGGTGAGATAGTGGAGAACTTAGTTAGCAAGCTCTATCCATAGACTGTATCTGATAATTAGTGCCAATTACCAGGCTAATAAATTCCCCCAGAGCTCAGATGTTCTTGGACAGTCTTTTGATACAATTAACTCTACAGAATGGCAATAATGATACAGTTATTTTATTACATTTTTCAGTTTATTCAACTCAAAAAAGAAGAAAAAAGTTGAGTCATTTAAATTTGGACTTTTATGAAGGAGCACATAGAAAAGAAAAGGAGTGCTGAAAAACTAAAATGAGCCTACACTTCATTATGACACAAATTTTATTTACACCAGATGTTCTCGTAGCTCCTTTGTTATGGTACAAAGGAGTTAGTGAATGCTTTAATCTCCACACAGCATTTGTTGAGTATCAAAAGCCAGTCCTGGTAACTTTCGATTTCAGATGAAAGCAAAAGCCTCTTTAGTAGGCACCAATGTTTTGTGTGCTTATGTCGACCATGTGGATGGGAGTCTTGAGGTTTTCATGATGATCTCTGTAGGTGTCCTGCCATTTCAAGAGATTGAACCTAATTCTGGAAATACCTGCACAGCTACGGTATTTTAATTTTTATGAGACCAGAGAAATCAGTGTGACGGTCCCCTCTGTTATACGCAGAGACCAAACTGCAGCTGGCTTCCCATCTCCTGATCTGAGGCTGTGTGAAAAAACTTATGCAAAACTGCCTGTTTGACTCATTTCTAGTAATACTGATGATTATCAGAAAGAAACCTGTGACTGTACGAGTCAGGTTATGTTGATGTGGCCTATTACTTAGATTTCCTCTTATTTCGTAATGTGTACACAGAGTGTAATGAAGCGCACAGTTTGTTGACTGCGCAAACGTGTCTGTTGTTGTGTGGAATCTTACACAGTTCTGGCAAATACTCTGACATCTGTGAAAACTTCAAAGACCCAGGCCTTGTTTGATCCATTAAAGAAAAATTCCATGCAATAATTATTACAATGTGAGTCATAATTTTGCACATTTTATCAGCTCTAACTACATTTTTTCTCCACAATTTTCTTTCAGCTGTTTCACAATAAAAATCCTTGTAGAAAATGAAGCATTTCAATCCACAGATTAGGGCTTTTAATTTGAAACATATTGGAAAATCTTGAGTGTGTATAAACAAAAGTGCAGTAACTTTAATGAGGTGTGAGTGGACTGGAAGTACTAAACAATACTATACAACCAATTATAACTTCTCAAGCATGTAGATAAAGGACAGTCACACATTTCTATATTTGTTTGAATTTTTTTCAGTTAATAAGAAAAAATTAATTCAGTGTCCAGTTTAGTGCTAGCCCGCAGCCTGCAGCAATAACATTTAAGGTAACTTAAGTCACTGAGGCAACATTGACCAACATGTCAGTTTGTCTTTACGGGCCCTTCTGCTTTAAATAAAGCTGGATTACAGTAAATGCAGGTGTCCGTACTTGCACTCTGGTACTGTTACACCTACTTGATGCTGGGAAAGAAAAAAAAGAACTTCACAAACAAAATCAGGAGCTCAAATTTCCACTAAATTTACAGTTAAGCAAATAAAGCGGGTTTCCTATTAAGAATACAAGGTTTAATGGTGCAGAATGATGCTTTCCTGGATATTGTCGTGCTTGATGAATTACATCATCTACTATTTGCTCAGCAGGGCTTTCTAGTTTGCCGTAAAGCTGTGTCACACACGTGGAAGCTCAAAAGTTCCCATTTTCATGTTTGTCATGCAGCACTTCATGACAGCGATTCCACCTTCTAAAAAGAAAACAAGACCCCGATAAGAACCAGCTCATTATTTTTCTTCTGTTACTTCAGTTTATTTAATCATGTGATGCAACATTTTACATCCACGCTATGAGCATTTTCTGAGGTGTGTAGGAATTTTGGGCTGAATATCATATTAAGGCTCTGTTTAAACCTGCAACAAAGTCAGTTAATAAAATAAATGCTCTCCTGTAGAATCCATCTGATTTCACTCTGATCGCATCTTTGTTTTCTTCAAGTGTTAGTGGCACAGCTGTACTCAGTGTGTTGGTTGCATGAATATAATGGAAACATACTGAGAGAGAACCCACATTTAAGTGTTGTATCATTTGATTACTGAGTCTTAAATATAACAAATGACTTCCCTTTTTCTTTATCAAGAGGCAGACAGAGGCTGGAAGTCTTAGCATATTCCACTTTCTCTAACTTCTTTCCATCAGTTCTGGAGAAACATTTGAGCAAAGCACACATCTAAAATACTAAGTGTGTATGTAATTTGCTAGTTTGAATTGTTATTTAAAAGAAAAACAGCAAAGCAAACAAAGGTGTAATATTTCACAACATTCACTGACTCGTGCTGTAGGCTGCGACTGTAACACCTAAGCATATGCTATTCCTAGAGCATTGGGTATCTGTCAGTCAGGTATTTGAGAGAGAATTCAATCAAATTCAGAGAGCTTCAAACAGGAAACTGAAATGCATGCGTGCACTGTCTGATATGACAGAAACTGTTAATGTACCTGTTGATCTACATTCCCACCCTCATCTGTACCTGTCAACTTCAGGAACTAGCTGAAAGAATGAGTTTCATGCATACAAGGAGCGGAAATAAGCTTCCTCAGAAGGGTGTCTGGCTTCAGGTGCACAGGCAGGGTGCCGAGCTCGGTTGTTCAGGATCTCTCACAAGGTTATTATCGTTAACGAAAACTAACGAAATAACGAAAACTAGAAGTGAAAAAACATTTTCATTAACAGAAATAAAAACAAAAAAGGAAAACTAACTAAAACTGTAATGAGTGTTCACAAAACTAACTAAAATTAACTGAATTCATAACAAAAATGTGTTTAGTTTCATTGATGTGTGCGTGTCATACAATAGTCAAGAGTGAAAATGAAGTTGAGTTTCCAGATTTTTGTCTTGCTCTCTCATTATGCCTGCAGGTGGCAGTATGTTAGTCGAGTCGTCTGTGTTGCTCCGTCCTCGCGCAGAATCATGTCAGGAAAAGTCGGGAGAAAGCGCCTGAGTCCAATTTGGGATTACTTTGAATATGACTGTGTTTTGGATAAAGCAATTGTCTTGTAGTGGAAAGAGACAAATTATGAGGGACATTTCTAAAGGGAAAAAAAATCCCACAAACCTTAAAGTGCACTTGAAAAGCTCACACAAGAAGGCTAACCTAGCTTACCTTGAGAAGGTAAGGGAGCACACTCAACCCTCATCCCCAGAAAACAGAAGCTAACCCCAGGCAAGGCAGCGTGATGCATCCCGAGACAACAGGACGGGGATGTCTACATAACTGTGTGAGTCAACTGCCTTCAAAAAGTTTATCAATTCACTTGAACCAAAATTACGAATACCCGGTGCTGCAAGAGTTAATAGTCTCAGTGGGGCCAAGATATACATTTTATAGTTGCCTGGTATCAATGGTTGTTCATCTGCCCTAATTTATTTATTTATTTATTTAAAGAACCCATAGGTGGGAATGTGAGTTGTCTGTCTCTGCGTGTTAGCCCTGCGACAGACAAGTGACCTGTCCAGGGTGCAGGGTATGGTAGCTGGAATAGCAACATACCCAAGGATAAGCAGAAGAGCATGACTGATATGATGAAACTGGGATTTTGTTGCACGTAATTATTGCAAACAACTAAAACTATAACTGAAACTAATCAAAACTAAACTGAAACTAAGGATTTTCAAAAAAATAAAAACTAAACTAAACTAGCAAACAATTAGTAAAAACTAATTAAAACTGATATAAAATTGAAAATCTGAAGTCAAAACTAAATAATAAAAACGAATGAAAATTGCAAAACTATTAAAACCCTGATCTCTCACATATAAATGAGAAAGCAAGCAGGACCAGGATACACTGAAGAGCTCATGTGTCTTGGCGAGCTTGTGAACCCTCCAGAAAAGCTAGTGGAGGTAAAATTCTGTTTGAACCAGCAGCGAAATGACTGAATGGATGAACACACATCAATAAAGCATTCACCTTTTAGGGTTAACAGTCTGTTTAGTCAACTAATAAGCCTATTATTGAGATATTCTTTTAAACAATCTCACAGCAACTGAACCTCTTAACCACCAGTCACCAATCAAGTTTTTTTGTGCTGGAATAGATTCCAGCTCAGTCACGACCCATAATAATTTTGGTGGAAGAATATGATAATCAAATATTATACTCTTTTCTATGAGACCTCTGATTCCTAGAAATTTACATCCTGAAGATCTCTGAATAGCAGCAGAAATATTGCTTCACAGATTAGCCATAATCAATTTACCCTACCAGTAAATTAAACTCAAAAGCAGCCCTACAGGTACAAAACCAGCCAATCTGGCAACACTGCCCCAGCAGCTGTGACAGGGAGTTTCATATGCAAAGTTGGTATGCAGTACATGTGTCAACAAAGCTTTACATAAAAAGGTAAAAGAGGTGACTCATCTTATGAAACTGAAGTCTTGCACATCCCTTTGTTTGTAATCTGTAAGTCACAGTAAATGATGAAAAGTGCTTATGCATGGGTTACATCAGCAGTGAAACATGCATACCAGACCTGCGTGCACTATCACAAGGGGAATCCCCATGAGCTTTCATGGCTGCCATAGAATAACAATAGAAACCTAATTTAAAGTCGCTCAATGAAACTGGCCCTGGCATATTTCTATGTGCCTGCTGTAGTTTCTGTGACACCTGAATATCAGGTCAAATATGCTTTAGTTCATAAGAAAAGAAACTTATTGACTGAGAATCCCCAGGAAAAAAAAAGAGTTTGGACTCTGCACTCCAAACCATGTGTTTAACCCCTCAGTAACAATCACCTGCAGTGTCTGATGCTGCTAGCAATACCTATTGAGCTCTTAAGACTCTTATTAAGCTTTCCTTCAGCTGCACTGTTAAATAATACTTTTTATTCAGCTGATCATATAATGCATTACATAGTACCGCATTACATCGCTACATCTTTACCATATATTTTGCACCATAGTCTTATACCCTCGCTACACTGTAGCTCCTACACCATAGTTACACCTTACAGCTACACAATAATTACATCATAGCGTTGATTTCCAAAATGTAATGTATGATTAGGTTTAGGCCAACTCATTAATTCATAATCAAAATGGATGGATGATTGAACAACTTGAGCCCCTACACCACAGCTCCTAAACTATAGCCCAAGTCCATGTCATCACTGGGTGGTTAACAACTATGACAGGTCTTTTTGGTATGAACATTAGCACAAGGACAACACATCTATGAAACTGAATGTAAAAGGCTCTAATTTTAGCTAGCCTTAAGTCTTCTCTTTTCCCCCTCTTTCAGTAAAAGTAACTGTTACGCAAGATTTTGGCTTCAGATGCAAGACGATAACTTTAAGGACTTTAAGGATGATAACTAAGGAAAGATATGCAGATGCAATTATAAATGAAAACTAACAACATTGCTACTTCATGGTGTGAGGTCCAGCAGTATTCACCTTTAGAAGTATTTTCCTTCCCATGTGAAAGAGCGGATTTCCTACATGAACGCCAACAAAATCACAAAAATTAGAGTTTGTGTTGTTTGGTTTATTTTATCTCATGGTGTAAGGGATAAATTCACAATCAGAACTAATGTGGCAAATCTACCCCAAAAAACAGCCTCATTATCAGAAAAGGAAAAGAAAGTGAAGAGGCAGAATAACAAAACCTCAGATGGGGATTAATGCAGGCACGTGTAGGGGGGGGGGGGGCTAGAGGGGCTTGAGCACCCGCCCCTTTCCTGATGGGTGCCCAAAGTGCCCTTTTGTTGAGGCAACTTTGTAAAAAAAATATATTATTTTTTTTAATGTGTGTGTGCATGCGGAGTCCTGTCTGTGCCCCTCAACAATAATATTTAACTATTAATCACAGTTTTGCTAAATAAAAGGATCTGGCTTGCATCAGTCACATGATCACATTTAACCAATGATCGCCCTTGACGGCAGAACGCGCTGGTTAC